GTTTGTTATGTTTGGGTAGACCTAGTTGATACTGGGTAACGCTCCTAGTCCCCTTTTATTCATCTGAAAAACTGTAGGGTATTAACCATTGAATACACGCAAAGAACACTTTGTACCCCCCTTCCGCATACCCAAAGATAATCTGGTCCCGTCAATCTGGCTTCAGTGTGATTGGTCCAGAGGGATAAGCAAACGACTAATTTCAGCCAGGTTTGTATCCTGAAAAGCCCTTTCTTACACGTCCTTCTTCAGGAACTGGCTGTGCTTGTCAGTTCGTTAATGTTGCTTTGCGTAATGTTATTAATTGAGTGATGGATTGCTTGCAAAATGATATCAATGAAAGCTTGCTTACATAAGCCAAGTCGAATTCGGTTGAAAGGGCTAAAACGGAATGTGGGGTAGCTACGTTTTCTGTCGTGTTTTTCAACAAATCTATCAGTCAAAAATCAAATGCTGCGTGTGTGTGCGTCATAACTTAAAAACTTAAAGGGCTTTGAAAAACTTTTCCAGCTAAAGCGAGTCAAGCCGCGAAAGGAAAAATGCTGAAAATGTGAGAAATGGTGCCGCTAAACATGAACTAGGCGAAAAGAAATGTCGCAAATAGAAAATAAATAAGAGAGAAATAAATATAAATAAAAACAAATAAATACTTAACAGCCTTAACAGAATGAAGTAATTAAATGATACGTTTGTATTATATTAATTTAGAAAATATTTTTGTGTCTTGTGACCCTATACATAATACATGCAATAAATATATGAATTAAATTTTTTAAAAAACGTATAACTTTTAATATCTTAACTTAAATTTGCCGATTTTTTTGGGCTTTTTCGAATAGCTCAAATTTCGTTTGGCCTGCACGAGTTTTATTATTTTCCCTTTACCACGGTATTGTTCCTTGATTTTTTGTTATTGTTCTAGTTATTGTTGTTGCCGTCACTGCGAATTGCTTGCGCTGCTCGCGTTTTCCTCAGTTGCGGTTCAACGCGCCCGCCCACCGCCCCTTCCGCATTTCCGCTTTCCCCGCCCTCTCCTCAACATTTTCATCATCATCAAAGACAACAGCAACAAGCAATTTCTGAGCGCGGCGCAAACTTTCGCCCAAAAAAAGTTTTTCTGCACATGCCAATGGAGGCGAAAAAGGGTTCCACATGCGTGCAGGTGCACTCATCTGTGTGTGTGTAAGTTTGGTTTAAGTTTTTAGCATACACCTGAAGACATAGCGGCCAGGAGGCGGAAGGGGCGTGGCAGATCGGCGGGGCACAGTAACGCCAACGGCAGCGGCAGCGGCTCGTGCAAGGCGAATGGCAAAACTTGCTCAAAAGACCAGCAGTCAGACAGCAGTCCACCGTGGAAATGCACGCAGAAAAAGCAGAAGCAATATCCAGATGCGAAAATATTCCAAATAAATATTCTAAACATAAATTATTTCTATTTCTAGAAAGTAAGTCGGTAAGACTATATTATTAGTTGCATTTCAATCGAATTTTCCTACTAACTTACGCTTCAATTGGTAAGTAATTGGAATGCACTTTTATTTCCAGTCAGAAAAACAAATCGAAGTCGCACTTCCTTGCGCCCCCTTTTCTCGCAGTGCACGGGCGCGTGTGTGCGTTTAGCTGTGTGCCAGGCACACCTTGAGGAAAACTGAGCGCCTCGCCCGCAAGCAGACATTGGTTAACAAACTTTTCAACTACCTGGCACACACACTCGCACACATGCGTGGCTTGAGAAATTATTATAACACGCCACGTTGGCAACCTTTTCATATGCCAACAACTTTGGACAGGACGAGGGCGGAGTTGCGTGGGAGGGATCTCCGGCTCCCCGGCTGCAGGACTCTCCGGGCTCTCGCCAAGTCCTGTGTAGATATAAAATTATGCGCGTTTATTCGTAAATTAAGTGTGCTGGGGCTGTTGCTCTTTGAAAGTTCGAAAGCAAATCGCTGGCTAACTTGGCCAAAAAGGGAGCCCATTGGGGCTCTAACCACGGGCATGCATCTTGTGTGGTTAGAGCTGGTGTGGCACGTGCCTCTCCAATTCCTTTGGGGCAGGATGTTTATTAAAATTGCACAAGTCCTAAGTGGTCATGTCCATCGATAGCCGCAGCCATATTAAATTTATTTAACAAGGTTCTAAAAATTACACTGCCCCTAGGCCGAGTGCTTACCAGCTTCCGTTTTCTTGGCACACAAACCAGATGATAAGCCAGTGTTTGAATGAGGCGAATTTCTAAAAGTCTATAATTATTACCAATCATAAAACTCTTTAAAACAGCTTAATCTTCATGAGTGGCGTGCTCGTCCCTTCAAGGCTTCCCACCCAAACGATCAGTTTTCCGCATTTAGTTTTCTGTAATCGATATAATCAAAGGTTTACCCAAGACGATAAGTGTGGTAATGCCACGGGATGGAGGATGGAGGAAAGTGGCGCATCGAGTGCAACATTAAGGGGGGGCAAGCCCAATGGGGCAGACACCGCAAAGTGGAGATGTGGCGGAGCTGCGATCCCGAAACTCGGGAAAATTCAGCTGCAGATGCCAAGCGAAGCGCAGCGCACACAACATTATTGGCAGGTGGAAACAGCAGCCGTTCGAGTAGCTCAAGGGGGCGTGGCAGGGGGGACGCTTTGAAGCGCGCTAAAAATTTTCAGATTTTCGGAACATAACATTTTACGGTTTCACGGTTCATTGCCACATGCAGGAAAAGTGAAAGATATATTGCCATACAGGTGCAGCTCACTTTCTATGGGTGTGTTTGCTTGAGGCAGAGAGAGAAAAAAAGTGTGCCAGACTTATTTCGTTAAAACTATTAGGTAATTAAGTTGTCTCATAAAATTGCATTTCAGAAATATATAAAAATAATGTTAAATAAAATAATGTTTTGTGTGGCTGTCATCTTAATAATCAGGATAATTTTACCAATGTTTTGAAAGACAACTTATAAAAAATATTTTTTTTCTTTGTTCCTTTAATCTTACACTCTTTGCAACCCCATTCTGCAATTTACCTATATAAATACAATGTATTTTAACAATTTTCAAGTGCATCCGAGCACATATGAAACCGATACCTCTCGTTTAGACGCCCAGCAACGTTTGAAGAGGAGGCCATTGGAGATTTGGAAGGAGCGGGTGTCGGCGAGGATAACTTTTGGGTTTTCGTTGATTTTGTTTTTGTTGGCTTCCACGAAATATTTTAAGCAGTTTAGAAACTGCTCATGTATATCACAAGAGTTCACATATCACGCACACGAGTGCCAGACGCAGGGGGGGGGCTCAAATTTCGCCATAAATCGATGGAACTTTCGCTTATGTTTGGATTTTGTTCGCTCTTTTCGCAGGTTTTCCACGGCTTTTAATTCTTTTTTCATCACCTAGCCCGGTCGATGTCGCAAATCCTTTTGATTTCGGCTCTAAGCGTATCGGATTTTCCCCCATTAATTCATTTAAATTGTTAGCACAGTTTTAACGTGTCGTGGGATTTTTTGTGGGTTTCAACGCGAATTTTGTGCAGGTGTTTTTATGCGGTTTCTTGGCTGATGGAGTTTCCCCAGCTCAGTTTCGATTCAATCAATTTGTACTTTTAATGATTCATAAATGAGAAAGCTGAATTTAATTATGCCAATAAAAGGGGCTTATTGATTTCATATACGTTACTGGTTTTTTACCGTGATTACTTATAATTTATTAAACAAATTTTCTTTAATAGCCTAATGACTAATGGGCGGAAGTACACTTCAGCGTAGCTTAAACTGCCCTCCTTAAAACGCGAATATCCTCCGTCATATTGATAATTTATGTTTATTGCTTATGCAAAGCGCAAATTCCAATAAGCGGCAAATCAAACAAATTGCTGCAAACTTTCCATCCACAGCAAAATGACAGGGTCATCCCCCCATTTTCCGGGGCAAGAAGGCACTAAGCTAATGGCATTTGGCTCGTTGATAAGCCGCTCGACCTCGAAAATTAGCAAACAATGTGCGTAGTCTTAAATGCCCTTGCCCCCGCCCTCCTTCGCCGCGTGCATTTATTGTTTTTCATTTTGGGTTTTCCGCAGAGGTGAAAATTGTGTGCGAAAAAATCGTACGTGCGTGAAAATGAATGGCTAGGGAGCCCAGTGTAATTGTCCGGCAATGGCTTGGGAAAATGCTTTCCGAGATGGTTGCGGTTCCAAAGAGATTGGCGATGTTCGCGTGGAGTTTTCCCCGTGGCGTGTGGTCAGGTGTTTGTCAGAGATATGACCGTGCCCCCTCGTCCATATGATTTAATGTTAATCACATTTAATGGGGGCGTCCGGTAGAAAAACGAGTGGCAGGGCGGGAAAGCGAAGCGGTCGGTCGTATTGAAAATAAAAGCTCGTAAATTAAATTTAGCACAAGCGAATCGCAATGAATAGCAAACAAAATTGTATACAACCAGGAGCTGTAATGGAGGTGTGAAACTGCACAGATCAAATTTAGATGGAAATGGAAAATTGTTTAAAAAAACTCAATTAATTGATTTAAACAGTTATCCATCAATTTTTCGGTGTTTCAATCTAATAAATTGTAAAATATTTGTTTAGTTAAAATTATAATGGTACAGTTTCCCTTAAATTCCTTGTAAAAGATATTTTTTCCCGTACAATGCTTCATCATTCTTACTTTGAATCTAGCCGCAGGAAGGGTGTGAAAAATAGCACCGCTCACAATGGCCAAATGATGCCGCTCCTGGACTGGGCTTCCCCACAACTTTTCCATCTGCCAGACTAGGCCCATAAATTTTTACTAAGCACACGCAGTGCGCCTCCATTGGCCTGGTCTGCGCCATGGAATGGGGTTCCCTTGCTGGCCTGGTCATCTATTTCCCTGGCCTGAGAGATGTGTCTACGTCTGCTGTCCGTTGTTTTTCCTCGCTTTTTTATCGTTTAATTAAAATTCGCAACACGTAAATCCATTTGAGCCGCTGCTGCAATCTTTACTTTAACCTTAAGGCGGTCGAATCCCAATCCCAGTCCCAGTCCCAGTTGAGCTTTCCCGTTTCCATCTGCCATTGCCGAGTGTTGTGTGTGTGGTAAATCCTGTTTTTCTATTTTGTTGCCCTATAAAACCACTTTACACAATTTTCGTCTTTTGTTTTTCGATTTCCTTCATGTTGCTCAGCGGCAGTATCTTCTAACTCTATGCTCTTATTGAAATTAAGTTCCTTCGAAGGCGCACAGAATCCTTGGTTCTGAGAGGATGGAATAAAAAAGATCCAAGGATCTGAAGTCTACAAGACTTCAAAACTAACCTTAATTTATAAGGTTTAAAAGGTTAATGTTTTTGGATATATGATATATTTGAGCTGGTACTTATAACGACACCCATTTTATTTAAGTTCTGTATAATGTTTGTCAAAAAAAAGAGTATTTAACGGTCCCGTTGATGAAAATATATTTCCGTTTTGATTTCGCCGCTTGTTTTGCAGTCGTTGGCACTGGTGCTGTTGGCCAGCTGAAGCCCTGACTTTTACCAATTATTGCTAGTGCCGGGGCCAGCCAGCGAATTAGCCTTTGTTGGGCAACCAATCAACCGGCGACCGGGGTTCCCAGCCCTCTGGTATTTTTCTCTGTGTACTTCCACCTTCGTTAGCCGCTGGCTTTTCATTACTTTTCTATCAACGTACTTAGGCCATTGTTGTGCAGTTATTTAGCACAATCAACACCCGATGCCGCTGATGGTGAATGCCCCTGCCCCGATTTCATTTTCCCCCTTTGTCTTAGCAGCCTGGTGATGCAGGGATATCCTGCTACTTGGGATAGAGCTTAGTAAATTTTATCAATGGCAAACATTTCTCCGCCAGTGGCCCACTGGCATCCTGATGGCTATGGAGGGTTTCACCTGAAGGCAAGATCCTTTGTTCACTTACGTTTCACTGGAGCTGCACACAAAATTAATGGAAATTGCTCAGCACAATGTACGAGGCAATCCAGCCCAGTCCAGGCAAAAAGCAGCAGGAGAGAGCTATTAAAAAATTAACAAATAGCCGGACTGAAAGTGGCAAACTGGAACTACAAGCAGGCCTGACTTGAAGGCATTCCAGGTAGTTGTTGCATGTCCTGCCTTCGCCTGCGATTGTATTCAATTGGAATTATCTATAAATGGACGAGAGGAATGAGGACTGAACTGAGGTATCGGAACCGGAGGCGATAAAGGATAGCCAGGAGCTGGGAGTTCGGGGATCTTGTGGGCTCCTGGACAAGTGGTTAGGCACACACTTGGTCCAGAAATTGTGTGGAATTAAGTAAGGTATTAAGGGCAGTTGTGGGGTTGGATTAGACTTTAAATTACAGGTAAGGTTAGCCCAGAACATGACTGCATGTCTGTTTGGGACTCAATCAAATTTCTATTGACCGATTTAGGTATGCACAACTTTTTAATCACTGCCCAATGTGTAGGATATTCAAGTTCTGGTAATTTGATCGGCTTGTGCGATTTTAATTTCGTTTTCAACTCATCCAGTAAATATTTATCCATATATATACTCGTACAGATGATTTATTGTGGACAAAAACGTTTGACCCCCAAAGTAAATAAGATTAGTTTTTCGATACATTTTCTAATACTTTTCTAGCAAAAAGCAAGTTTTTCTCCCTGCATTCATTTAGCTCGTCGGGTAATTTCGATTCACTTCAACATGTTTCCTTCTTAATTTTCTCGCTACTTGTTGATTAGTTTTAAATGAGTTTTGCTGGCGGCAGTGCCTCACTTAACCCGATGCCATCCTAGCCGTTCACCGCCCTTCAGGCCCTGATTGATATTTACGCGCTTCGCCTGATTGAAGTGTAATCAGCAGGCAGTCAGTCAGCGATTCAGTCGCTCCTTCACTCAGTCAATCAATCGGAGGAGCTGCGGGCCATGTATTAGCAGATGAATGAAATGTAAGTGAGCAAATAGTAATTAAAATTGCGCCCATCAGCGCCAAGAAGGGCAAAAACAAAACAAAGCAGGGCGGCAGAGTACGCTCGAGGACACAAACAATATGCATTAGGGCTGAACGCAGTGGGGGAGTGGCAGAGTGGGCGGCGGAGTGGGCGGCGGAGCGGCAGAGGGAACGGGTCAAAGCACTCGGCTGTCTGATGGCAATGACGTTGACAGAGACGAGACACTAATGAAAATGCATAACCAGTTGCAGTTGCAGCAGCAGTCGCGGGAAAGCCGAAGCTCTAAGCAAGGGTATTGCTGCCGGGAAACTGTCAGTAGCCAGGAGGAGTTCTTACATGAGTATATTAATGCATTAGTGAGTATATATAAATATTATGCTAAATAAAAAGTTAGTCCTGCAAGTGTATTATGGTTATTATTATTCAGTAGTTACTTTCTGCAAAATATTATGGTTATTATTATTCAATTGTTATTTCTGCAAATATATTATGATTATTATTATTCAATAGTTATTTCTGCAAATATTATGGTTATTATTATTCAATAGTTACTTTCTGCAAATTTACTTTGAATATTACTATTCAAATTACAGTAAAAACACAACATATTCAGAATTTTAAATCAACAAACTTCCAAAAATGCATAAAATACAAAGCTAAAACACCCAAAGCTTTTTCTACAATCGTCAGCAGTTGAAGGACTCGGCCGGCAAAAAGGGCTGCAGCAAAAAGGAGTAACAGGATAATGAGAAATGCAGCGCAGCTGAAAGGAGTTAGCGACTGCAAAACAAATTGTGAAATGGGCAGCACAAAAGATGAAAGCGGCTCACTCATAAGTAGGGTGACACAAGTGGAAAGCGGGAGGGGCGGGAAAACCCACTGCACTCATCGTGTGTGTCTCTGTCTCTGTCTGACTTCTGACTCTGTCTCACTCACTCGCACCCTCCGATCCGGATTCTGAGTCTCCGTCCGGGCGTAAATCAAAGTGAAAAGCGTGCTAATTGCATTAAAAGCATATAAACAAAATGCAATGCAAGTGGCTGTGATAAATATAAAAAGCAACAGCCCAGCCCTGAAAGGCCTCGGAATGAATGTCACTGCATGTGGACTATACACATATCTCCCATCTCTTTCGGCTCCCTCCGTCCCTTTTCGGTGCCTTTTGTGCTGTGAAATTAAGCAAATATGCCCGAGCAAGGGGCAACAAAAATGGGAAAGCGGAAAAGTGCTGCAGATTCGAGTAAATTTGTTAGCTCAACGAAACCCTTTTCAGCTCTTGTTAGTGTTCCACTAATTTTATAGGGCGCCACAAAGTTGACCAATGAAGAGGGCGCCACAACGCCGCTCAAAACTCATCTGGGATAGCAAATCAGTTCCAAAATAGGGTGTTGTTATAAAAAGGACAGCAGAATAACTCCAGGAAATTATAATTCTAAGTAAAATAAAGTAATGTAAATGGAAATAAATGGGATACATGCATCGATCCTTGATTAATTTGAAGTAATCCCTTTACTATTGAGTTAGTTCGTTGAAATCTTTTCATTAAGAATACATTTAAAGCTAAAGCGCGAAATCACTGTTATTTTTCGGAATAAGGGGCGTATGCTTGATATTACAGAAGAGTATATTCCCTATTTCTTGGTACACAAACTAGAGCTCAAAGAACGAATCTGGCAATAAAGCAAACCCCAAGTCCCATGTTTGCTTGTATCCACGAAACTTATCAAAACATCCATGTGCTGCCTGCAGTTTCCCCAAGTCATTAGCCCGCCGTTAAAAAAGCAGTCTGGATAAGCAAGAACACAATATGAGCTGCTCACATTTATGGTCGGCGATACGAATGTTCTTAACTGCATTTACTCAGGCATCGTCTGAGGCTCGTAGCCCTGAACCCGGGAACCCGGGAAACCGGCCCTTTATAGCACCCAATCACGACTGGAATCGGAGGCACCGCCGCATGCGTAGCGAATTCAATCGTACAATGTGTTGATATATGACACGTAATCAAATGTTTAAGTGCATGGCACACGCATCGCCAAGTCAAGGAGGCCCCACCAGCCCTGCCACTCGGAAAATATGAGGGGCACAACCTATTGGAGTGGGTGGCAGGGTGCACTCAGCGTACACGCAGCAAATCCGACAAGTAAATATAATAACAATAAAATGAAGCAACGACATGAATGCCATCGCAGCGCCAAGGCGAGATATTATGACACTGCCAGCAACAATAAAAAAGTATGGCAGCGAAAAGAATGCCTGGCAAGGACAATTGCCGGCACGAATCTGTTCCCCGTTCTGGCTTTTCTGGTTCAGGTCAAGAGCGCTCACAATGGCTAAGGGGACACGAGGGCACGGCGCGGGAAAATTCAAGGGATGATTGCAAACACCTTTTACCCTGCAAGCCAAGTAAGCTACTTAAAAGTGTTTCATTCAGGCAAGTAAGTGTCATTGTTTAACAAAGCGATGTCAATTAAATAAATGTAATTATCCGAAAAGCAAGTACCAGCAGTCTCACCAATTTATACTCACTGAAGCGTGTCTTCCATGCGACCCAACGCGCACCACATCCAGGGTATTCTAGTAGAGGAGCAGAGGGCTCGAAAATATGTTGGCAGTCACTTCCTTGGGGCAGTGCCAACAATCAGGCAATCTAATTTGTTTTTTTTGCATTCTTTATTTCTTTAAAGACTTAATAACATTCATTATCCGCATATATTTTACGCTACACAGGGTTTTGGCTTAAGTTTTCTATGGTTGGATATGATTTCGCTAGTAATGGTCTTAGTCTAGGTAACATTTAACAATCTGTTCATCGTTGAAGAGAGAGAGAGATTTTCTCAGCAGAGATATGCCTTAAGTTGTGCGCCATACATTTAAGTGCAGCAAAATCATTCAATGTATATGAGGTGTTAATCATTCAAACAAACAGCACACATTCGATTTTGAAAAGGTTTCTTGAATAGGCAAATTATTCTTACGTCCTCCAACCAAAAGTTATAGATTTCGATGTGAAAATACGTACGTAATTATATGACAACAATATTAAAATGTTTTTACTTGTACCAAATGCCATATATTCTAGGATTTTGTTGGCTAAATTACTTTCTAAGCCTTATTTAAAATCCAGATCCTTAATCGAACATTTGTTATTTTCTTTCAATAGATTCAATGTGTACAGCTGTTATCCTTAAAATTAATAGCTTATGACTCTTAAGTTAGTTTCCTTAATTCTATGGCTTTGGCTACTGACTTGAGTTCATTTATACAGTTATGCGTTCCGTTGACAATATTTGACCGCCTCTTACTTTCAAAGCAATTTTTAGCCAACAACTTTGAGCATTTTCCCTTAGACGACAAGCAAAAAGGCCAAAGAGGAACAACGACATTTCAATGTTTCACTAATAATTGTGTAATATATAAATACAGTAAATTTACTGATATGTAGATATGTACATAGCATACACTAGTTAAGCGAGCCGCACACGCGGCGTATACTTGATGTGACAAAAATTGAAATATATACACAGAACTTAATGGGTCTTAGGCCGAGTAGCTGGCTCCACTGTTCATTTGCGTCCAGGTTAATTGTTATCTACGCTGAACAGCCTTCTCGCCTAATTGGCTAGACAGGCGGCTCTTGTTGATGTTGCTGCTGTGTTCCCTGTTGCTGCTGATGATGTTGCTTGTGAGGCTCCTGCTGCTGCCACGGCTGCCAGTGCTCCTCTGACGGCAACATCCCTGCCCAACTGCCGGTCGGAAGCTACACAGAAATGCTATTAAGACTGGCAGCGCGTAGAGGGAAATGCGTGCAATTGATTTGGAAGCTAATATGCGTGACCAGGGCACCGATGAGCCCCACATCGCCCCAAATGGCGCCACAGTTGCTCTACTTGCGCTGGACGAGGCTGCTGCTGCTGCTGCTGCAGCTGCGGCCGCTGAAGTTGCTGCAGCAGGGCGTCGGCTCTTCTTCAGTTGTTTGTCTAGTTTGCGGAATCAAAGAGGGTCGAAAGGTCAGAGGGGTTGGCAAATGGAAATGGAGAGCGGTGCGGTGGGTTGGCCACAACAGCGGCCCCAACTGTTGCTGATGTACTCGAACAAAATTGGTAATGGTATCTCAATTTGGCTTGAGTTAAGTTTAATCTTCCGATCCACCAAAAGCTGAATTCCTAATCTGATTATCTTAGTAACGAACAACACATTATTCGGCAAGTGGCCTTTAGTTGGTGGAATGCTTGAAACTAGTGTGCTGCATCCTTGTGCAGAACAACAAATACATTTTAATTGAATTGCCTTAGCCTAATGTAAGAAACGAGCAAGATATTTTGTTTATGAAATTTCTCAAAATGTGACTTCTCTAAGATTGAATTTAACAAAACTTGTTACTTGCAAAGGCTAAGAAATTATATGGTAAAAGGAAAAAGATTAATTTTGTAAAATCTTTAGGACAACTGCAACAGCTATTTCTCGGAGTGCACAGGCCTTGTTGACCAACTAACCGCCGGATGATTGATGATCACTCACCTTCGAGCGCGGACTGAGCCTTGTCCATGGAGTGACGGGACTTGGACATGACCGTCTCCCGCGACTCCAGCACCGGAATCCTCTGGTGCTTGTCGCTCTCCACGCTTTCCTCGTTGCTCTGCCAGTACACGGAGGAGATTTTGGCGACACACTGCAGTCGGATTATGGCCGGGAAATGCAAGAACGAACGAGCAGGGAAAACTTTCATCAAATCTGTGTACATTGATAAATGTGTGGGGGGCTGTGGGAATTGGGGACATCGGGACATGGCGGATTGGCCATCCTTTTGACGGCGTAGTAAAAATTTTATGCTTTCATTAACTCCCCCCGCTTTCACCCAAATAACCCAAAATGACCCGCATACATCTCCGCAGCACACACACAAGTATGCACACCACCACACCCTGCCTCACCACATATGCAAACGGACTGTGACCCACGCGGTGACCAAAAGTCGTTGCACAGTGGGTGCTCTAAGAACTCATGTGCTCAAATAATATATACTCATTCTTTTAAGCTTACGGAAATCGAAACAACGAGAAAGGAAGCAAGAAAAGCATTAATAATTTATTAAAAAAAGAATCTAATGTATCCCTACATGCTCCAATCAACAAAGATATATTTTTTTCATTTAGTATGATTTAGTTATAATTTAGCTATGAATTTTCCTATGAAAGTCGCACATGACTAAATCGATTCGGTTGTGTTGCTTTATATGATTGCAAATGTATGAATCTGCCTTAACTGCTTTAAAGCACCCATTTATATAAATTAAATTTATTCAGAAATGTGAGTACTAATTGGTGACTTCCTCTGGAACCACTGTGCATACTGGACATGTCATAAGAGCACTTCGTCTGCCGCCCGCGTTCGCATGAAATTTTGTGGCTTGTTCAACACACATTTGCACTCGTAGTGGTTTGGGTGGTTGGGTGGTGGGGTGGTGGGGTGGCTCGGTGGAGCGGATCAGCGGGATGCGATGGCCGGTGGGTGAGTAGCTGGCCAACTGGGTCCGAATGGATAATAATCAACATGAGCTGCCATGTTATATTGTCGCAAATTGAATCAGAGCAACAGTGCGCTGGCAAATATGTATGAAATGGATGGCTGATGAATGTATCAATTTTCAGTGCCCATGAGCGGCTTATCGCATATCCTGGAGAGGAACCTTGGTTGTGACCCTTAAATAGGGTGCATTTCACTTCTTATTAAATCGTAGACTTTTAAAAGTTTGCATTTTCTGTCTCAACTTTTTTATTCCCCTATTAACTCTTCAAGCTCCTGTCTCAAATATGTGTTCTACCAACTTACGCATTGTACATTTATCTAGACAATAGTATCATATCATGCTTGGAAATGAAAGGGCTTCCAACTTCATGGAGAAGCGGCGCTCTAACTTACCTTCAGTTTCATGTCGCCATGCTTGAAATGTCATTCTCTCACCCGGAACTGCAGGCCCAACCGGGCGACCTCCAGCCCCTCGCGACCCACAATCAGGGGTTCATAGGGTCGCAGCAGCGAGCGGTTCGCGTGCATCCCGTTAATCAGCCAGCTGAGATGGCAGACCGGCCTGGACGCCGCCGAAGTGCAATTGACGCGGACCATGTCGCCGATTTGGTAACGCGGCTGTCCGCCAGTGATTTGTGGTCCGTGCTTCGGGGTCACTGCAATGGCGGAAGAGGGCAGAGGGTTAGGATGAGGGGGTTACTCTGGGTTCAGGGAGTTCATTTGGCATTGGAACGTGGAAGGCAACTCAGACCAACTTTGGTTTTGGGTTTCCTAATCAGTTAGATTCATAATTTCGCATTAGTTTTAAACCATGTCTCAGATAATCAACGAGCAGCTTGGTAACTAATGGCCAATATCAATTTTGGAAATATATTCATGTATTGGTGTGCGAAGGTCTGTATTTGACCATATTAAATTATATATTTAATACTATTTTGCCAGCTTGGGTTTTGCTTTTTGCCATTTTAATTGTATTTGGTTCAGAGCCCAGCGTCTGAAAATTGAAAACAATAATGTCAGAACACAAAATCCCTTTCACTGAAATATAAGCCAATTGTTCTTCGCTAAAACCGAAAAGAAAAGCAAACAAAAAGGCATATCTGAAATGAAGTCGTAGTTGCCAAACAAGATTGATGCTTAATTGGGTTTTAGTTTTCAGCCAAATTCCATTCCCAGCTGTTAAGCGTGCGCTATCAGTTGTGCAATTAAATCAATTCCCATTCGCAACAAAGAGGAAATGCAAATGCAGTTTAGCTCAACAAAAAGGGAAAATAATATATATACAAAAATTTCGAAATGCATCTCCTCGGTGTGCAATCTTTGCACGTTACAGTCGCAATTGATTTGTATCTTTTTGCAGTTGTGTGCCTTTTGTAGGTCGCAGTGTTGGTCCTGGCCATGAAGTGCAGCTGCTGGACAGCTGGCGATGGAGGGCCAAGAGGTCGGAATCAAGGGGGTTGGAATCATGGAGGACAGAGCCATGTCTGTTGGCCCAACTGGCCAACTGCCAATTGGGCCAAAAACTGCGAAAATCGAACAAAACTAAAGCGAGTCTTCAATTAAACATAATCGATAGTCTCACATTGATGAAAAGTTAGGGAAATGAAAGGAAACTTGAACGTTTAGCGCACAAAAGAATATTTCTTTCCCACTTTTTCATCAGTTTCTTAATAATGGCAATAATGGCTCCCGGACTTTGCCAAATACGAACCAAAGAAGATTGAGAAAATCTATAAAGGTTACACTGTGAAGCAGTTTTGATGCTAAACCTTTTTTTTATTATTCAGATCTAACTGCACAAAACAAACATTTGTTGGCGAAAGTGTAAATTAATTTAAGTGCAGAAAAATGTAAATTGCATTACTCAGACCTAAAATATATTATATATATATCCCTCCAAAATAAAAGGTTTTAAAAAGTTATGATGCTTCATAAAGTCTGGAAATTTAATATTTTACCCATTAAAGTAGTGCAGTACATTTATTACCAGGTGACTTTGCTCATAGTAGTGTCCCGAATAAGGTCAAATTAAATTGCTTTTCCCTTCCTGGAAATTCTTTTGTGTTTTCTGCTACTTTTTCCCCCATTGTTCGGCTTAACCGAACTAAACTGCATAAATTATTATTTTCAGCGAATATTTTTACGCTCCCCTGACATTGATTAAGAGGTTGATATTTTGTGGCACTCCTTCTGCGATTTCCCCTTTAATATTTGCTTAACCGTTCCACACATTTTCCCCTGTCGTTGAGCTGGGCTGTTGTGCTCAGCTCCAGTATCAATTGGTAATAATTGCTGGGCATTTTTATTCTTCAGCCGCCATTGTCCGGCTTTGTTTGCCTCCGAGGTCCTTCAGACAAGGGATCAACATGGATCCAGTTTGTTTTGCTTGGCCGTGCCCACGGGTTTTTCTTTGTCCCGAACTTGGACGAACAATGGATTCAATTGAGCAACTGAAACAAATATCCAAGTAAATCGGATGCCTAAATAAACTAACCATTTTTCAGCATAATAGCTTTTTGGCCCACACATGCACACGAAAGGGTCAAGGGTGCGCAATTGGTTGAAAAGGATCGAGTTGATGAAACATTTAGCATTTATTCTGTGGATTGAAAGTTAAGCTCACCAACTTATTTTCTTGGAAAACGTCTTCTTTAATTATTAGTAAAAACATTTAATATGAAAAATAACTTCATTGTCAATATAAAATTTTGTTTCTAAATAAATAAAAATATAAACAAAGGTGAAATTAAAAAGTTGCGTTATATTTTTTAATGGTTAAGCGTTAATAGTTTAGATCAACAGAATTAACCTTTACGTCCAGTATATTCTACATGTGAAACTGAAGCTCTGACAGAGATTACGTTTAACCAATTTTCCCAACCGGATGCGGCCATCATATGCAGCTGAACGGGGACGACAGCATTTTCCGACCATTTCCTGCGCGTTTCCAACTGGGAAAGCCCCGTTTTCCTCACACACTCATTTTCAATTTCCGCGCGTACACTGCAATTATCGCATATGTTGGCTCCCCAGTTTATGCTGTCTAATCCAAGGAAGTGGGTCAAATGCATTTGGCAGAGAGAAAGGCATTTCCCCCTAATTGCATGCTATTATTTTGGCCACAATGCAGATAATGGAACCAATCTATAATTTTAAGTAATTCGACAATTCAAATGAGATTGCCAGCTCGCAATTTAATTGTACTAAATCCTCTTTTGATCTGTTCCTTTTCCATTTCCACTGTACCATATTTAGCCTCACTCTTTCGAATGCCTTATGATGGCAATAATTTTGATTTGATTTTTCCTGACCCAGAAGTTCATTAGGTTTATTAATCCGCAAATCGTCATAGTCATTATGGCTCTGATTTAATCCGCTTACATCTGAACCGAAGAGCGGCTTTCATAACGAACCCATGGGGAATAATTTCTCTTCCGATTTTTCTCCATTAAAGTCTAATCGGAATTGAGTAATTTCCAGCTGAAAACGGAAGCTCTGATTGGTGGACTTTCGCCCACCTCTCTCTACTCCTCAGTCGAGGAAATATTTAGTTAGCCTAATTATGCGATATACCAATTTTGATAGCCTTTCGCCGGAACAATCTCAACATTTCAGTGGACGGAAATGAGGTTGAAATTTACCGTTTCCAAGCAATTGTGCTGACTACGGTTCCCATTTGGATATTTGGGTCAGATGTGTCGATATCCTACGCACAAAATCCTCTTTCCGTATAAATGGATGATTATGCTTGGATTAACCTACCAGGCTTGTTTATGATTTGATAATCAGTGTGCGCTTATAATAGCTGCAAAGTTTGTTTAGTTACTTAATCAGTTTGAACTCTTGTACATGGGTTTCTTTCTGTCCCGATCCAATTTAAGCTTATCTTAAAGACCTCGGTAAAGAATCCAGCTCGTACTCCACTTTTATTCTAAGTTTTCATCCGCAGCAGTTTTTCATATTGCGTTCGGCCATATTTTTACGCCATGTTTGGTTGGATTGCGCAAAAATTTCAAATTAAGTTGCAGACTGGGCGAAAGAGAGGGAGGATGGCGAGCGAGGGAGAGAGAGATGGAGACCGAGTCTGGCGCTGTGCAAAAATCCCGAGCTGTAGTGAGCAACAGAATTGCATCACGTACATGGGCAATTTGCCAGTGGAATATATACAATACAAAGAACACACACACACATTAAAGCTCTGTGTCGACCAGGAAAAAGGATGGCCGAAATCCTTTCTCTCCCTTCACCTCACCATCTCTATCTCTGTTACCCTGAGCCCGCTGGCTTTTTTGGCACAGGTTTTCTCCTCGAGAATTTGTAAATCGCAGCGAGAAACAATGCTGGGCATAAACTAAATAAATGTGAAATATTTTATACATTTTCGCAGACGGTCAGGGACAGAGTGTTGCAAAGCGAGAGAGACAGAGGGGCTTGTGAGTGAAAGAGACAGCTATTGTTGCTCAATAACAGATTACTTTTCGTCGCTTAGTTCCCTTGCTGCAATTAATCTTAGCGCTTTTCCTCTCTCTCACTCCAAAATGTATCCATTCCGCTTTCGCCCTGCGTCCTCTCTTTCTCTGGCAAGTTTCTTTTGGCCACTTTCACTTACCCACAACAATCATGTCCTCGTGACCGGAAACCGTCTGAAACGAAGGCGCCTCGCCGGACACTTCGCAGCGATATCGGCCAGTTGACTGAAGGCTAACTGAGCGCAGGACAACGACCACGTCCGTCGAGTTTTGTAACTGCAAGAAAAACGCAAGGAAAATGGGGTCAATAAGCGCATATGAGTACTCAGTGGGACTTTTTTCTATGGAACAGAAACAGTATATTCTTAAACAGTAACTCTTAAATAGCTTTCATAATAGCTCAATTTTAATTCTAACGTTAAATACATACACATAGGCGATTTCCTCAACTAAAATATGGCTCCTGAGTAAATATTTGCCTCAGAGTGGGCATCTAAATAAAATTATATCCCTTCAATCCCTTCGAGTATATCCTTTTACATTACGAGTAAGGGGTGTAATTATATTATCATCTGTATTTGCCCCAAATTGTTTACAATATATCTATGCCTAACCTAACAAAGATATTTTTATGAATGTTTAACACCACGATGTAACTGCAAATCAACCTTTAACTTGTATTTTAATGTAAGTTAGGTGTTAAATATTAGATGCATTTTCCTAAATAGGACACAAAAATAATTGTCAATACAGGTAATCCAATAATAAACTCTTGATTAATATTAAACTTGAAATTTAATTAAGGTTATGCATCTTAAAAACAGTTATTCAAAATATCCAGCCTGAATTTGAGTTGGTTCTTGGAGCATCATCGTCGCCATCATCCGCGTCCTTTTCATGGTATTCATTCTCTTTGTGGACTCCCTCTTCATCTTCCTCCTCCGCTTCATAATTATCATTATCGCCATCATCCTCATCCTCTTCCTCATCAAGGATCACTTCGTTCAGGGACTCCAGCATCTCCCCCAGATCCTCGTCCTTCACGGGCATCACTTCATCTATAGATTCGGCAGTGGGCGAAACGTGGAAGCTGCGCATCGAATTTTCGAATTTAATGGCATCCTCGAGATGCAGGATGCTCCGGTTCTCCTTGATGCTTAAATTTCTCTCTATTGTATCGCTCTTGGGCTGGCGAATTTGGTCGGCGATCAAACGGACGACGTCCTCCTGATCGATGGGTGGCACCGACTCCTCCAGCGATTTCACCAATTTTGATTTCCTATTGCTCATTTTAAGCCCTGCCAAAATCGAATCAAATAATTTTCGTTTTCGGAAACTATATATTCCAAAATTTCAAACCTAACAATTATACCAGGGCATTCTACAAAAACTGATGGTTGAATCGGAAACTATTTTTCGCTCTTTTGACTAGCAAAAACGACAGGGCTCACCAAATAAAACTGATTGATGATCAATAAAAAAGGTTTTGTAAGTTTTATAAGCTATGTGGCATATTTAAAAGGCACTGAAATTATTACTTACCTCAACATCCACTCCCGGAAGCGGGAAAACCTGGCCCGGGGGCATGTCCCTGGGCACATAGCGGTAGAACTCGAAGCCATCCTTGTACCACTTGACCGAGTACAGTGACTCCCCGTCGAGATCGAACTTGCAGCCGAGCACGGCATCCTCGTGGCGCATAATGTGCTTGGGGATTTTGATTTCGGTCATTGTCAGGCATTCCACGGATTCTGTAAGACAAAAAGCGGAGGAGAGACAAAGGGTTATTTGCTTGAAATTCAGACGTGGTATGTGCCACTTTAATAGGTCCTTAGTCGTGGGCTGGTTTAGCGGTTTCAATGCCAGTGGCAGGACATAAATAACTTGCAGCAAGTGCATAAAAGTCAAGGAAATCGAAGGAAACGCCTCCCCACTCCGCCCCCCGGCTAGAACAATGCGCTTTTGTTTTGCCAACACAATGGTTAGTTGGCTGGGAGAGAAAGTGAACGCGACTAACTTGAGCAACGTGTCCTGGTTGGAAAGTTCTTTACCAGGCCAAGATGCTGCCTGGGTGCTGCTGCCTGGGTGGAAAAGCTCTTGGGCCTCGGCAAAATATAACTGAGTTCTCGAGACAATGCTGCAGAGAAATGAAAAGTTGCCAACTTATTTAACAGCCCAAGACAATGACGGAAAACTGTGTGTAGTACGCCCGCTCACAACTGGGAGGGCAATTTGGGTCACGCAAATCGAGATATGAAATTAATATTGCAGCTCTCAAATGAGCAGTGGTAAGTGGGGCAATCCGTGGCGGAGGAGTGGATTTTGCTGCCTAAGCCAACCCAAAGGAATATACTCCTACGATGTGCCAGTTTCTGTATCTATGCGGGTTGAAAGGCTGCTTTAAAATGATTCCAAGCATAGGTAAGGGTAAGAAAAATCCTTATTATTCCTTTCTATATATTCTATGAAATTAGTTATTTCATCAGAAGGAGTAGAAACTAAACGAACGAAGTAAATATTTCGTAAAATAAAGCTAGTATGTAACATTCATAAAATAAGGTATACAACCATAAAATGCAAAGTTAACGTGTGTTTAATTGTGTTTTTTGCAAGAAGTCATTACCGAAACAGTCATCGAATAGAATTAATTCCTTATTTTTAAAGGCTTAGCTCTACTTACTCTCAATTTGAATGTCTTGCGTCACAAGGGACAGAAGGGGAAACAACTTTACTAATTCCTCACTAATATAATTCTCAATCCAATTTGAACAATAATATATAACTCGGAACACCATGTTGGAGCTCAATCAAAGCCAAGGTAAACAAATATTCTCGCTGTCAAATCAGAAATAGAACTCAAAGAAAATCCCACACTTAACCTTAAGTCCGTCAACAGCTTTCTAAGTTTATTTTTGGACGGGCTCACAAATAACAAAGCAATATTGTTTAAAAATACAAGTGTTGCCGGGTGGAAGACAAGAATGACGTGTGCCCAATGTAAGTGCACAGTTTTGTTACCCATTAGAACGAGGCATTATGCGCTTTTCAAGGGTATCTTCTATACATGTACTTGATGGACTGTAATTGTTAAAAAAACCAATGTTTCCAAGCTAAAAAAAAAGGCAAAATAAGGCGAATAATTATTAAAAGTCACCAAAGTATTTGCAAACACAGTGTCTACCTTTGTTTGGTCCTTAAGGAGATTATAAGGTTTTTATCAGTTCTTGAACTAGCTAAACATTTTGTGATGGCGTTTTTACAGGGTACTAAATGCTTTGAGCTCGGTCAGTGTTCCGATTTCATGCTTTTTGTGGTCGTTAAACCAACGTAGCGACAAACAAACAAACAGAAAGCACAATGCATAAAGGCAGAAAAAAGAGGAACCGCCGCCATTGAAGCCGATGACGATGTGGATGATGATGGGGCAAGTGCTGGGCTGCCGGGAAGAGGGCGTGGTGCTGTTGCTGGTGCCACGCCCTCCCGCGGGCTTTGCCCCTTTGAGTGCATTTCCGCTTTGCGGCGGCGGCGCCGTTTGAGTTCTTTTTTTTCCGGCCGGTGCGTGGCTCCGCTTTGGCGGACACTTTGTGCAATCTACGAATGTATTTCGCCTGTGTATGTGCGGCTTAAGTATAATTTAGCATTTTGCACTCTCCAGTAGTTTGTTTACTGCTGCTCCGTTGGCGGTAGACAAACAAAGTGCGTTGCCAAAAGGTTTCCATCGCACAAAGGACCGCTGGCACTGGAAGCCTCCTCTGTGCTCCTTTTTCTTCGCGAAATAAGAGAATTTTTAAGGAACCGCTATGAAAACATCCTTGAGGCACAACAAAGTTCTAAGAAGCTTAAGCCGGCCAGCGACTTTAAGAATTTTCATTTCAAGCTCATTTTTGAGGCACTATGAAATTTACAAGGAAGTTATTGCCAACGCTTTGGTTTCATGGTGTGTTGTATGGTTCCATAATATTCCAGTAAATGTATTTTTAAACTTAATGTGTTATATCAACCATAACACTTTCTGATCCCACACCTTAACCAAATTACCCGATTTCCGATTGCCGCGTTGCCAATTTCGGGCCATTTGTTATTTCAAACTATTACTCCATTGCAAATTGCTCGATATGAAGGCTTGTTATTCATTTCTTATATTTGGTTGGCTCTTGAAAGTTCTTTGGGTTTCAATAATTTGTTTATTTTGCAGCTTTCAGTGGGACGATCGCTCGGAGTGATATAGCAAATTGCGTTTTTGATCACAGTCCAATTTGTGTTTTACATGAGGATTGCGGTTTCACGCTGAATAGCAAATGCTTATTAGACTTGCATAAAAAGTTTATTTATCATGAAACTCAAGCGAGTGGGTACAAGTAGATATATAAAAATTAAGCAATGTGTAATTATTATATGTATTTATAGCTTTAGAATCATTTATAAGCGGACCTTGTCCAACGGATAAAAAACGGTGCCCATACAAAGTTTATTTACCAGGCAAAACTTTTGATAATGCTTCCAAATAAAATCAGCATAAAAAATACCATTACGCACAAAAATAATTTTAAAAATCGTAGTAAAAATACGTATCGAAATTGTCAAAATCGAACGTTCAAAAGATTTTCCCAAAACAAGATTTATGATTGTCGGTTTGCTTTGGTGTCTGCATCAACCGTTTTTAAACGGTATTCTAAAGTACTAAACTATTTTTTTAGGTAAACAGTTTGATTTGGCAAATATCAGTTATCTCAATTTCGACCAGCCACTAACTAACTTAACTTAACTTTAACCTTAAGACCAAATATCAATTTTAGATATGGTATTTTTCGTCACTAGTGTTTAGCTGGTGTTTTTGTTTGATTTTTAATTGCCCAAAACTGTGCGTTGCTATTGAAAATGTTCAAGTGCGCAATTGTAGGCCTTCAGCAGCTAATTAATAAGGCAGAAATTGGAAAGTTTTGTCATTTAACTTAATTGAGAAAAGCCAATGCCAGAAAGCCAAGTTAGAATTGTGCGCCTGGCACAGCCGGAAAGTTTTCCATTTGATGTCGTGTAAACGTCATAGATATGGCCGAAAAGGATCACTCAGTACTTTCTTCGGCTCACCTTAAAACGAACCGTCACAGACAAAAGTTTGCTACTTAATTATTGTTGATTTTTAAATGATTTCATTTGCCACCCGAGGGCAACAAATGTCAACCGCAGACAAAAGTTACCCGCCTCCATTTACCGAAATGAGTTTCTTTTTGGGGTTTAGTTGTGCTCGAAATCTAATTCAATGTTGGGGCAGCCGAAAATTGCTGGGGATGGGTGTCAAGTGCAGAACTTTACTGCCAAAGTTTAGCTTTGCATATCATTATGGCTTTCTGATGGGGTGAGCCATGTCCTTAGTCGCCTAAATATTGTGCCAGGGGGTGCTCTTCATAGTAACTAATGAACTTTTCAAAGTTTGGGGCGGTCGATTTTAAAGATGGAACTAGTGGGGCAATTGATCTGGGACGGTTGATGAATTTGCAGAAAAGCCAGGCCAATTAAATTCATCTGTATGCAGAAATTATCTTTTTTTAATTGACAGTTTCCTATCGAACAAACATATAACCAATTATTTGAAGGGGTGTGATGGAAAATTTAAAATAGAATTTTTTGATGTGCTCCTATCTTTGTCACAAATACTTAACGCTATATGCAATTTTGCTGGAAAATAACACAAAAAACAAAGATACAACAGAAATAATATTTGACAGAGAACCCATTTTGTAGTCAAATGACGAGGATACTAACTCACTCAAGCGGATTGGTTACACAATGCAAACATTGTGTATCAATCTCGGCACTTGTTTCCCCTTGATCATTCGGAAAATAAGTCCGGAAAATTCAGTGCAAGCAATCGCAATTTTCAATTCACATCTGACTGTCACATGAGCTCAACCCAGCTCAGCCTGGATTCCACTCCCCTATTTCACTCCGCCTATCAATGAAGCTGCACAGGCAAATGCAAAATGCAATTAATTTTATTAGAGTCCATTGAAAAATCGGGCCACAAAAGGGAGACCATTGTGCGGAAGGCTGCCAAGCCAAGAATTTACGGCCCGGCCAAGGCTTCACTTACAATGCAAATTTTTCCAGTCAGCCCGGAGGAGACAAGGAAATTATGATGCGGCTGGGTTCGAGAGCTTACTCATGGCTTTTCAGGGGTTGTGGGCGGGGCTGCGGAACCGCCTGCCTTGAGCAAATAAAGATGTTTTTCCAATGTTTTGCAGACGCCAGCAGCGTCAATACGCATCAATCCCCGCCTGCATCCTCCGCAGATTCGCCATAACCACTCCTCCCAGCCAAGTCAGACGCCTAGAACGTGCTTAATCTGCAATCAGAGCCGGAAGTTGGTCTCCCCCTCTTAAGCCTGCTCCTCCCGTTGCCCGTCTGTCTTTGTGTCTAGTTTAGAGTCCGGTCCCCTCTTTATTTCAGTTGCAGTCTCAGCGCGACGCGATACCCTCAGAAAGGGTGTTCCGATTTGAGCCCCGAGGTTATCCTTCTTCATTAATGCATATAATTACTTATAATACTGGATGCTTCTACTAAATATGCATTCCCTTTATACTATGTATGGATATATACTCGTATTTGGCTGCATGTGAGCATCGCTTAATGCCTCGAAAGCAGATCATTGTTATCCGATCCTTTTCCCCTTTAAAGTATCTCAAGAGTATTAAATTCTTCGCTGCGCTTAACGTTTTCCACTTCCCTTTGACGACTAGTGCATCCTCGTTGTCCCGGTCGTTGTCATTGCAGTCGGAAAACGGGAGCACGTCTGCCACTCCCCCTGGGCGGCCCAACGCCCCTTTTAACCCCTTCTGGCCACCAAAGCCAACAGCTCCCAGTTGTCAGCTCAGCTCAGCTCAGCTCAACTCAGTTCAGTTCAGTTTTTGCTGCATTGCAGGCGCACTTTCATTTGCATATTTCGCAAAAAGAAAGAAAACAGGAGGGAAAACAAAAAATATATGGCATAACGTAAGGGGAAAGATGAGAGATGCTAAAAACTTGGCAACAATCGATCGAGTCCCATTGAGTCTGTTTCTTGTTAGCTGGTTAATCGCAGGGCGCATGAAGTCAAAAGTTGCGATATCGACTTGACTCAAAAGAATTTTGTGACAAAACTTGTGGCTGTCATTTGTCAGCGAGGTGAATACTGCTGTATGGATTACAAACATAATACTTCGGCTTTTGTGTGTCAACAGATGCATTCATTTTGCAGGGGTTATATTATTCCATATAATTACCCCCAATTGAGTTGGTCAGCAAACCGAAATAATCATGGCAAGCTAGGTCGTCCATCAAAGGGACATGCATAATGCACTTTATTTTCTTTAATTAGGAAATCAATTAAATTACTTCACCCAGTCACAGCTGGAATAATATAATTAAAGTTCACTTCGCCTGACAAGCGCAATAATGTCAAAGATGTCAGTGCAAGAGTCGCCAATTATGCCTCATACGAGTATGCATACCCGTACATATAAATAAACACACGAACTTGAATCATTAATCATGGTACTGATTGCCAAAATATCATTATAATTTAATTAACAAAGAATGCCTGCATATGTTTTAAATAAAATGTCAAATTGCTGTCATACATCTGTAATATAATTACGAATAGACATGTATAGGCCAAATTCATAGGAGTAACTCAGCCTTTTCACTATTCATGCTGATGGCCAATAAGCCGACACGTAAGCCGACAATCTGTTCGCACCTCCCTACTTGGACCCTCGATGGGCCCTCAAGAACACTTTAACTCAGCCTAATCGCTGGAAAAGGCACTTAATAATCCTTATAGGTATTTATGACGGCCCAGCCAGCGGAGCGAAATCTTTAATAAACTCCACTCGAAGGAACCTCGAGTGTTTGGCGTCTGCAGGAACTTTCATTAACTGAATCGAAGGGGATATCGGAGGATATGGGAAGTGTGAGAGGGGAGTGCGTGTCGCTCCACATTAGTTTCATGTGCTGCCAATGAATGTGTACTTGCCTCGGACATCGCTGCTCGGTCTTTGTTAGTTACAATTTGGCCAGAAGTGTACGCCACGTTAACTTAATTTCATTATTTGCTGCTCGCTCCCAGTTTTCCCCAATTTTTTCCCCTTGTGCGGCATGCGTACGTGACCCCATAATAGGAAAATAAGATTTCTATCTATAATTCAGGCAGCGCTTGCTCAAACCCAAGTCGGCTAAGTGCCCGCAAATAATAATCATTTCAGTTTCCCCCGTTTGTCTAGACAGAAATTGTATTTGTCAGTCATTATTATAACTTCGCTGCGCTGTCGCAATTGAGCGTGGAAGGAAAGCTAAGTTAAATAGTAAACACGGATCTGCCGCAGTAACTTTTTTGCTTTGACAACCCTGCCGCAAAGGGAAGCGGAAACGGAAATGGCAGAAAAAAACTTGAGCATGTTTATTTATTTAATTAAATGCGGCAGCAGAAAAGTTTCACTGGTGTTTTCTATACATACATATATATATTTTTTGTTTTTTGCTCTGCCACTCGGCAATCAAGCTAATTAAGTTGAAGGTTTTCGCACACACACAAAAAATTAATATTAATAAAATATATTAATTGCGGTGGGCGCCAATAAAGGATGTGCAAGTGAATTTAATTTATGGTTCAGTCATCCGCAAGTTTCATTAGCTGTATTAATTGGGAGTCATTCAAACTGATATTCTTGTTCAGCAAAAACTAGAACTATTTTCCGCTGCATGGAAAAGAATTGGCCGTTTTAAATTGTGGTCAGTTATAAAAGTATTGCTAACTTCCCGCTGCAAACTATAATAAATTCGCTCATTCTAACCCCTTTATCATTTGAGGAGCATATTTAGGGCCCTAAGTAAGCCCCAATCGACATCTTCATTATCCCCGCAAATCAAAAGTCTTTCGCCGATTCTCCCTTCTTGTGGTTAAGCGCGCCTTTCGCTTGTTCTCCAGTTAATTTTGTTTAGTTTTTGCTCAGCAGTTTGTTGAACTTAATTAAAAATAAATAAGGGGCGGTGGTGGCAGTAGCCACTCGCTGTTTATTAAAGGCTTTGCGGGGTCTTGGGAGCTGTTGGGATTCTCAGGAAGGATTTATCTCCGCGACCTGACAGCCTTGACTTTGCGCATGACTTTCTGAACTCAAGAAAGTCTTGACAGGCTTTCGCGTATCGATTATTAAATGAATTCCAAATAAGTTAAGTGAAACACGTGGTTATGAATTGCGTGTAGGGGCAACAAATGTGTAATTTTCCCGGTTTAACAAAAGCTTTCAACTTACCGAAACACAGCTGGAGCAGCAAAAAGAAGAGGACGCCATAGGCTAATGAATATCGACAGTTTGCTGCAGGATCCATGCTGTGTTTTCCTTTAGTGCTCTGCGTTTTCCTGCTAGTTTTCTTCTGCTGAAATTTTAGTTTTTCAATTTGTTGCGGAATTTTCGGTTATTTTTCTTGTCCATGCTCGCGCTTTTCTATGTTTGCCTTTGCTTCGTTTGCGTTTTCTTCTTGTCTCATTTGTGCAATGCAATAAATTTTCCTTGACCGCCAACGAGGGAAAGCGTCAACCAATTGCTTTTCTTGTTGTTTTGCTTGTCGCAGTCGCAGTCGTTGGCTTATTTATATTTATTTTCCATGAGCTCGTTGCTATTTGCTTTTCCTATTAAGCATTCGCCCACACAGAGACATCTATGGCCAGTCGCATTTACATGTTATATCCTGCCACTATTTGTATTTGGCTCGGAGTCTCGTTTCCTTTTTCGGTTTAGTTTCCTGTTTCGTTATTTTTTGTGTCGCCCAACGCACTGAGTTTAATTGAAATATCAGCAAAACTTTCCTAAGACCATCTGAAAATATAATGAATAATGAAATGTTGAATATTTATCTTGGTTAAAGCTCGGTTTTGTCATACAATTAAGTTGTTCTATTATTATTTAATAATTGGCCTAAGTGGTTTGATTTGCGTATAATAACCTATATTGGTAGCAGGAAAAGTCATTTGTCATTTTCTTTGCTTCTATTTTTGGCTACCAATTAATGTAACTGGTATTCAGTTTTTGGCCCCTGACATAACGTTCATATATTTGGAAGCCCAAAGCTATTTTAATAACGACTTTATTGGACCTGAGTTGGCATTTGTCTCTGTAGACCTGTGCATTGCATTAAATATTTATGCTTGGTTGAAACAATATTTTATTGAAATGGGAGTCATTATATTCCTAACTCGTATGTATTTATTCTTTGTTCTGTGATCATTGCATATTTGTAAATGGTATAAAACGAAAAACGATTACCTACTAAATAGTCCTTTAAAACGTCTTTCATTAAATCCCACCTCCTGAGCTTCAACCTTTTGCTCTTCATGTATAATTTTTAAAAGTTATTTTGCATTGCGAGTTTCCTGAATATTCCATGGAATTTTTGAAATTCGTACTGCCTAAGTCTTCGCCATAGCTCAACATTCCCATTGCCAATGTCCTGAAGCCAACAAAGACAGTCGCTTACAATTGTCGCTTCATAGAAGCAAGAAACCAAATGAATTAATCATACAATTTATGGCCAATAACTGTTAATTTGAATTAAATGCCCTCCGAAGCGAAAGCCCAAAGGCAAAGCCCACAGCTCAGACCCAAAAATCATTGAGCAAAGGCATAAATTAACAATACCATTGTATGTCCCGAAAATGTGTAATTGTTCTCGGGTAGGCAGAATTAAATTTGCATAAAATCAATTAAAACCAAAAACTCTCGGCAAGCATCCGAGGCACTTGGGGGAAAAATCTGTGAAAGCCTTTTGGGCAGAAAGTTTTCCGAAATCATGTTTTGTAATTAGAGGCCATGAATAATTTTAGCACCTTGTTGTCATCTATTTTAAGAGACACGCATACACTGAGTCACATGTCGAACGGTGAGTGGCTTATGCAAAATAGTCGAGTCGGACCCTGAGCGCACACACGCTGCGTATACTTGATGTTGGCTCCTGAGCCGAGTCTTTTGCATAATTAATTATGTGGCAAGCATGGCACTGGCTTGTTAAATATGCAAATATTCGGAGAGCAAGGTCTAAGCGGGCTTAGACACCGCAGGTCACTCACATCTTTAAAATCATAACTCCTAGCATTCCCTTCTTAAATTCGTTTTGGTTAGCTTCCCCATTTGGCAGGGCTCTTTAGGCCAATGCTTTAAAAAGATTTGCCTATGAGGCCATGTCAAAAAGCTTGTTGCAACACACACAAGCACAAACACACTTTTTGGGGCCAAAAAGGAGAAGAAGAAGGGGCACATTGGGGCTTAAGCGCCTCCTACGAGAGCTCTCTGAATGCCGTATGAAGAATTGACTGAATGGCCATACGAGAAATGCCTCACTGACTGACTGACTGACTGACTGACTGAATGACTGAATGACTGGCATTGCCCTCTGCGTGCTGGTGTGTGTGTGGCCCATTGTGGGTATTGCTTCGGTGTGTGTGCGAGTTCTGGGGCCTTGAACAGCCCTTGACGTTAGTGCTGTGGACCCGAGATTGGCTTTAAAATTTAAGTCACGAGTGTGCTAGCCAGCCAAACATCTGCGAGAATGTATAAAAATAAATTTTTAATTTTTACAAATACCAAATATTATTTCAGTTAAAAGTAAGAAACATATAAAGCACAAGTTTTTTTCCTTAAATTTTATTACAAAAAAACATTACAGCATTCGAATATTGGAGTAAACACAAATGTTTATCGAGCAATCACGTTCCAAAAATATGACATCATTTTCTCGCCATCATAATAAATAAGAAAAGTATTTTCCAAGACCTGTACCAATAAATCCAGGGCGGATGAAACTGAAAAATATGTTCCCCTCAATAAAGAGGGTGGTAATCTTTTTATTTATCGCAATATTTGAGTTTTAAGTGTCAATTGATAAGGCCATAAAGGCCAGCGAGCCATGAAACTGACCTCTGCCAGAGTTTCGCAATTTAAGAATGTGCTGGTAGGAGTTTTCTCCCCGCATCCTTGATTTTCCCCCCACTCGCCCTGAACTAAATGAGACTAATGAAAGGCCATAACTCAAAGACCGGACAGAGTATGTCCCAGCTCGGCGACTCAAATTAATTGGCATTGTACGGGCATTTCATATATATGGCGGAAAATGGAGGTGTCGACACGTCTGCGGTCAAAATTATAGGGTCTATGAAGTCTAATGTGTGGTATATTCTTGCTAACTGGCTTTAATGCAGCTACCTTCAATCGGGAATAAACTAGTACCCGACCAGTCAATTGAATTTATAAGTTTCCTCAAGTAATGTATTTGTTTAGGTCTCAGCTCCCAATATTCATAATTTAACGATCTTTAAGGACTTACAAAAATATATAAAAAATCCAGCAAAGCCTCGTAAGCCAAGTTCACAGTTAGGCAACAACTTCTGGTTAGTCGATATTATTGTGTCCTTGGCTGTCCCTTGCCTGTAGTATATTGCTGTTGGCCCGTATCCGGCTATAGAATTTCATAATTATAATAATTTATGTTGACACCTGAGGCGTGTGCACAAATTGAACTGGCCCCTAGATCCGCGCCAAGTTAATAAAACTTTAAGTTACAATTTGTGTGTTGCTACGTTGCTGTGTTTCTCTACGTCTCTATATATTCTGGAAAATCCCTGAAGAAATATGATCGAAATCGTACGTCGCATAATACTTACTTATTGCCGGCGCTGCCTTCTTATGTTTTTGGCTTAGCTCTATTTTTCCAGACAACTTTAAAGAACTCCAGTGGAATGGGGTGTTTGTTGGCGGCAGTGTTTTAGCCAAGTTTACCTTTCGCTCTCACACCGTTTTTGTGTTCGCTGGCCCACGTGCATAATAATAACAAATGATTGGTTGTCACGCACGTAACGGTACTTTCGTTCATAATTTATGCATTTTAATTTGTCAAACTAAGTAGGAAAAGCTAGGGAAGTTCCACTCGCTGATGAGAATAAATTCGTGGATTCCAACGGGGGGAAGATTAGTTTTCTTTTCCTTCGCCAAACTGCAGCGCATTCAGTTTGCTTTTCCTTACTTTCGCTTACATTTTATTCATAATTTGCCATCTCACTGCAGCACAAGCACACACACCCTCGCAAATGAGACACACACACAATCGCACGTACGCACGAGTGTCCTCGGTTTTATCGCGATTTTCAGGACTCGGGGACTGGAGCAAACTGGAGTGGAGAACGGAGAATCGAGAATCGAGAACTTTGCCGCCACACGGACTTGTGTCGCCTTCGCCAACCACACAGCACCAATAACCGACCAAGACTAAAAGCTTCGCTCTCCTTATTACCTGGTTTTTACTTGGCGCCCAACACGCACACCCCCGCACACTCGAAAACACACACGAGCCAATTCCCGAACTGGAACACGACGACCGGATATCAGGATAAAAAGCGACTACACGCACAAACTGGTTCGCATTGTCTGAGGTTGCGAAGTCACAACCGCGAGAGAGCGCTCTCTTTCTCCGGAAAGAAGTAAGAGAAAGCGGGAGAGAGCCAGCTATTGGTTTGTTTCAATTCCATATTCCACGGATGTAATTTAACAGCTATGTTAGGCCAGCTAACACTATGGTTGTTATAGCTTGGGCAGCAGAAATAGTGGGAAGTTTTCAGGTGTGCAGAATTTTAACAGCAGGCACAACAGAATGCAATGTTGGCCAAACTTAGGATTCTGATTTATAATTCAACAACTTTAATGTGTACTTGTTGACCAGTCTTCAAAAATGAAGTCAATATGGAGATGCATTTGGAAATATAGTTGTAGTACGTATGCGGATGTTATGTAGTTATATTTACGTTTATTTAATGCCAAGTCCTTGAGGTCCTGTCAAAAATACTGCAAATTAGCACAACCTTCTTCGCGCAAATACTCCATTACTGGGCCCTCCAAATAAACCCGGAGTTGTTGTTCGTCAAATGCCTAGTTAAGTCCCCGCAGAGCCTGCACCAACAGCATTTTCTATGATACGCACACAACATTGGTAAACAACGAAAACAATAGAAACAAGTGGAAGAACAAGGAGGAGAACAAGAGGAAGTTGGAGAAGTAGGACAAGCAGCACAGATCCTTGCCCAGTGAGGCATCAATAGAAAATACCAATAACATCGACATCATCCTCCGCATCATTAGCCCAAACAAAAACTGCTGACTGGGGCACAATGCCAGCAAGCAAATCGGGCGAGGAGCCTGCCACTCCCCCCCATTCGTGCCCCAAAACCCCTATCCCGCAGCGTCTATCCCCTAACCCACCGCTCACATCGTTTCTAGACCATCGTAACCCTAGCTCAAGGGGCTCCAACTTTTTTTTGTGCTGCACATGCCCCGCTGGCAATTTGAAGTTGAGCCAACAGCTAGGAGTTCTCCGCTTGCTGGTCCTCCCTCTTCTCCTCCCTATCTTCGGCTTTCACTCGCCTCTTCTAGTTCTTACACAGCGAAGAAAATACTTTCCTATCAGCCATATTTCTTTGACGCCACAACAATAAGCCTAAAAAATCCAAAAATAGTCCTATTGATGTGAGAATTGCCAAAATAAACATTCAATTAATTTTCTCAAATTTCGTCTATGATTTCTCACAGTGCATCTGCCGGCATCGGCTCATTGACAGTCATAACGCTGAAATGCGCCTCAACTTGAACTAATTTGTGCGCAATTTGCGCGAAGAAAGGCGTCGGAAACACCAAAGGCAATGCCAAAGAGAAAGGGACATACAGATATAGCCAATGAATGGGGAAAGAGATGGGGAGACTCTATGCGAAAGAGACGGCTGATGGGCGAAGAAAGAATGGCAAGCATTTGCACTTTTACTTAAGCGTAAAACTTTTCTTTTGCAGGTTGCAGCCAACTAATTTCGCTTCCTTTTCCTCGAATGGATGGAAAAAAGCGATGGTGGCATAGAGACATTCGGAGATAAGGAGAGATAGAAATACTGTTACTGATTGCGTCAACTTTTTCTGCAACTTGCTTTGTTTCAAGTTGTTTCTGTGCTCTGGAGTTTTTATAGGAAAGTATATGGGTTCTGCAAATAAGTTTGACCTTCAATTCAACATTTTATAAATAAACTTCATTTTCCGAAATTCTAGGTTTCGAATGGTTTCAAGAAGCCAAAACATTTTTTTATAGTTCCGAGAAGTGTTCCACTTCCGACCTCATAAAACTAACACTTGTTCGCAAAAAGTTCTGCATATTTTCTGGGCAGACCTTGCAGAGAAGTAATGGGTGTATTCTCGCCCTCACACCTACTTTATAACATAATTTGTTCAATTTGGTCATGTATCTTTTATTTTGTTTTTGTGTGTGGCTGTGCAAATTGCATAAATTTGATTGCTTGAAACTCAGTGTAGGTGAGAAGACCTGTCCTTTGCGGTCTGCTCCGTGCCTTTACTCTCCTTCTAGATCCTGTTAAGTTCGTCCCTTTGTTACTTTGTCAGGCAAATCCAGTTCCTAATTGTCTTCGTCATGGACTGATTGAATCTCTTACACTCCACAGGCGGCTTTATTATTTAACGTTTCAATTACACGGCGACGAGACTGAGTCTCAGTCGTAGTCCGATTCCAAATCGGGGAGTGGCATGTGAGTAGGGAGTGGAGGTCCTTTTGCCAAGGACGAGCGAAAGGCTATTTAGCATGTAAATGCGAGTCAGTGGCAAATAGTTGAGTCTCTCGCTGGAGTCTCAGTTTTAGTCGGAGGCAGTATCTTGTTTGCATACAAATGGATTTTCTTTATGTTTATGGTGCCAGTGCAGAGTAGACTGGAAAATAATTTCGCAAATGTTACATTTGATTACGGGATGAATCTTTTCTCGGATCTTTCAATCTCTAATTGTCTTTCATGTCGCATGCAAATGAAGCATTTTGCCTTGATGGCGGTTACCCAAGTGCGGGCTTAAAATGTTATTTTTAATTTTAAATACATTCTGTACTTCTTTAAGCAAAGTAGAGTAACTTTCCAATTTCCCCAGAGTTGTATGTATAACTAAAAAAACAGAATCGATTCTTTTATCACAACCTAAAATATGACTTTTAATTTACACAGTCATTGCAATTAGGCGTATTTCATTTTTAATACTCCACTATACAGCCAGAGTAATTAAGGAACTCAAGAAAAATGCTTCTTTCCACGAACCATTTGCCTCAGGAAAAACACAATTTAGGCGAACGAAAAGTAAACCGTCGTTCGCATATAGCAAAAAGTGACTTCAGGCTCATTGTCGAGGATTTTTAGTGTTGAAAACAATTGAAAGTGTTGGCAGCTGTGCGCAATGATGATAAGGGCGGCTTTGGGAGGGAGTATGGCAAACACGACATGCAAACTCATAAATGCGGCCGCAAAAACACAGTGGCACACACATGAATACAATGCACTTACAACCGCCAGCAAAGGCAACAGAATCAGAAGTAGTAACTATAACAAAGAACTCGGTCATTTGGTGCACAAAACGCAGTCGAAAGCACGCCCCATGCTGCTAAATGCTGCACAAAAAGGGAGCAGACGGAAAAATAAAACCAGAAAAAATAGGAATGCGGCAAAAGGACTAGGAAGCACGCACAGGAGGCTCCCACAATTTCATGCATGCATGTGTGTTTGATGGGTGTGAAATGTTTGCCGAGCAGGCTTCAAACAATGCCAGAATCAGTTCGGATCTTTGCATGAAAATGTTGAGGGACTTGGAATATTTTCGAATGCGTATAAAGGATTCTTAAATATTTAGGTTGCCATCGTTCATTTTGAATATTTCCAGTAGATGTTTGCGGAAATACTTTTACACAGTTTTCATTTTTTCTTTTCCTGATGGCCAATCTTAAAATGAATATTTTTAAAAAGATATGTCAAAGTAATCCATAAAACAAAAGGTCCTTTTTATTTAATAGTGAAATTAACGCCTATTTGATGGTGCGAAAGCGATTCGCTGACCTAACTTATTGCAGCGGGCGAATTGAAAAGAAATTCCCCAAAGAGGCAACGCTGCGGAATATTTGTTCAAATCAATTTAGCGGCGACCATAAACTGATTAATGTTGAGTGAGGTGGCCGCAGAATTGTGAGGTTCCGCTGCTCGCATGCTATTTATAAGCCTGCGGCTTTCGGCATTCCAATGCATTGGCTTCAATGAATAATTAAGCGGTTGGCGCTGCCAGGATTAAGAAGCAGCTCCAGCCGACCGCAACCACTCACTCGCACTTGCGACGCTTCTTTGCCACGCCCCCGACGCCCCAGCGCCCCTAGTGCGCACACGTACACACACACATGTCGCGCCAAGAAGTGGCAAGGATATGCGTGTGCGGGACATTTTTCACTTGTCAGGACATGGCGCATACGCCTCGTTAGCCAGGCAACCCCAAAACCTGAAAGCGAGAAACGCCATCTAATTTATAGAACGTGGCGGTTATTTCTTTTAAGTGCTCGACAAATAGAAACAACAAACACAAAACACATTTCGTCACGTCCTCCGACATCCAGCAGCAGCATCAATATTTTTATTTGAATTCTGTCTCCCTTTTTGTTTATAATTTATTTGCATTTGCTCATTGAAATGCTGCACAAACCAAACGGGCCCAAGTGCCACGAGCCCCAAACAAATGGCAATCGTGGGAAAAGAAGGGGATTGATGGCAGGAGCTTGATATCATTTTGCTGCTCAGTGATGGTTCGAAAGGATAAGGTCGTTTCAGTTAGGACGCCAAGATGCCTTGGCCAATACCAATAATGTTGAGTGTCTTTTACAAAACAATACCGTAGCATACATTTCAGGGCCAATGTCGAACAAACTTATGAATTGAATACTTGTATGTTTATTGAATTGTTTTGTACATTATATTAGTTTATATCACTAAGTGAATTTCCTTATTCAACCTAAGTTTCCTGTTCTAACATTATCCACAGTGTTATAAATACACATATTCAAATGGGCGTCTCTTTTAACACCCAAAAATAATAAAACGAAATGCTAAACGAACTCAAATCATGCAATTTTTGCCGTTTCTGCTGAAGTTGTACCTATTAGGTACCTTGCAATACCCCGCGTCCATGTGCTCGTCATAAATTCTCGTTATACAATTCAAAAACATTTGCTAAACACGCATTTCCTGCATGGCAATGTCCAGTCGAAATGGCCAAGAGTTTGGGGAGTGAGAATTTGGCTCCGAGGCCCGAAAAACATAACATAAATTTACTTTTTGGCTGCCCAACGGCCGACGCTTAGATGGGAAAAACGTAGAAAAATAAAGGACACTCGAACGCCCATTGAGATAAAATTGTCAAAA